TTAACACGGTATTTGCGATACAAAACGAGGGTCGGTAGTTCATGGGGGGGGGGGCTACCATATATATATATATATATATATGTATATATATATATATACAGTGGGCTGGAGTCTCGGAGCAACCTTACACCGTCAGGTGGATGCCCCTACTATCTCAGGTACCTAAACTAGACCTAAACCCTAAACCCGGCACCCTAAACCCCAAACCGCCCTAACCCTAATCCAAACCCCTGATATAATTTGGGGGTCTTTCAGTCTCTGGGTAGGTTCTTGAGTAATAGTCGAGCAACGCCAGCAATAATAATGAAATAATAGCAGCACTAATGCTAATTTTGCGATATTAACAATACTCATAATGTTACCCATCGGATGCATCCCAGGATGCCTGGCACACCGCGCGGGAAATCCTACCGTGTCATCAAGATGCACCAAGAGGTTGAAGTATCGTATCCTAAATATCGCTGAACCCAAACCTCAAACTTTTATAAACCCACCATACGCAAGGGTTTAGGCAGGATTGAGGAAACCTTGCTAATTCTGCGGCTGTCGCCGCAACAAAGGGAGCCACAGCCTAAACCCGAAATACAGAGGCTTTAACATTGAACAAGGTTGCTTCAGGGGTGCTTTTACAGGGTTCCACTAAACTAAGGGTTCTCATTAACGTTTGGTTAAATAGACTAGGCTTTCGGGGTATATTATATCATACGTACAATAAGGAGTTTGAAGGAATGGTATTACTAACTACCCAGGCTTCTTCTGATTGCCGTTGAGGTTCACCAACCAAGAAAGGTAACTCCTCATTGATGAACATCGTCCGCGCTTTACTCGGATGGGTGCGACTATGGAGTTTTGTTGTCAGTCCGAACAATTTCAAGCTTTGAGGTGCTAAGACCTGGGTACATGTCTGCGACGTGGAAATGGGTGCACGGAGTTAATACAGGGGCCTCCATAAAAACCTGCGTTATTTTTTTTTTGGGGGGGGGTCCATATTTTATTTATAGTATAACGGACCCCAATACCCTATTGTAATTATTAAGGCCCCTAAAGTGACCATGGAGCATCAATCGGGATGGTTTGCTCCAGGGCATCAGCGGAGGGTTGAGATTTTCGAGGCTACGCATTTACCTTGGGAGTCAAGAAGGCTTGCCACTCACGATCACCCAAGTTTGATTACAGTCAACCCGCAAAAGTTGGAAACCGGATTAGGGACAAGTAGTAATGGGATTCCCTATACATGACTCTTAAGGATTGGAGCTACTGGGTTTCCAAATCCCAAGCTTCTACCATAGTCATTCTCCTTCATGCACTTCTTTGGTCGCACCAGGCATGCATCAGCGAAGCTCTGACATTGTTGGAACTACTTACGCGGCCCGATATGAACGGTCCTCGAGACGAGGTTCTTAGATAGCTGCGACTCGCTCGGTGCGTCGGATCCAGCTGTGAATCCGACAACCTCTTCCCCAAGCCTGGCACAGTACCTTCTACGCTGTAGTATAGTGGCCTTCCTAACGAGAATAAAGCTTCAGGGTACACTATACTCTAACATTATTCAGGAACCCTAACAGATAGTACCGACAATCATTCAGGCTACTTAGAAAGACGTACAGCCTCAAGGACTGACCTCTGTACGAATTAGATTCTGGTAAGCTGCACCCTAAGCCCTAAACCCTAAGCCCAGAACACTAAGCCCGAGACGGAATCTCGGCTCGAGAAGGTGGGTGCTGTTGACTATATAGAGGGTCGCAGCTAGGCAGGGCCGACACGCGACAAGCGCTTAGGGGCCTTGATAAGACGCAAAACAGGGGCTTGGGGTATATTCTAGTATGGTTGTAGTATTGAACTCTTAAGGACTAGTACTTATTCCGACACCCCCCCCCCCCATAGCACCCAGAACCTTCTTTGCGACAAAGGGCTGGTACCATTCCTGGGTGGGGTCGAAAAAGTTGTAGCCTGGCCGAAGCTTGCTTGGAGGTTCACGGGTAATGTAGGGGCCTTAATAATTAGAATAGGGTCTTGGGGGCCCATTATACTATACTTATAATCCCCCACATTAGTTAAGGGTTTAGGGTTCGTGGGTAGTCATAAGAGGGGTCATAAGTCCCCTGTGTCGGGTTCTAACAATAGTTACCCTATTAATAAACCCACGTATACTTACTCATGAACCTGCAAGTGTGGGATTCGATATTCCAGGCCGCAGTAGTTAGAGTAGGCCGTTTGGGCCTGTTCTAGTACAACCATATAAGGAAAGACTATAGAGGCATCACTAAGTAGAAAACGATATGGAGGTGTAGCGATGAGGCTTTCTTGCATTGGCTGATAGGCATGAAAGGACATGGCCTTCGTGCCCAGTTTCCATTTTGTGGGGGAAGTATTGGGGCTTGTACAGGGATTATAATACATCAAGAGCATTGAAGGCTTCTTACTCCAGGGATTAGAGTACTCCAGAAGGCACTAGTCACTAATCCTAAGCCTAGCGGTCACTCATTCTGTTGCGCGGGCTACGATGGGGTATTCTATAGTGATGGTTCAACCCTGTATCCAAGGCATTGCGATTCCGTGTTCACCTGCACGCAATGTATGCATGCTTGAGCACACAATTGCATGTAAGATTGTAGGCTTGCGTGTTTTGTGTTCGTGCTTGGTGATAACATGGATGAAATACATACCTAGCTCATTCACAGTTTGTTCGCTGATTATCTCTTGCATGTACCAAGTTTTACACTCGTTTGAGGGGGGCCTATACGAGACTGCTTTATGCAACTGGCTTTTGATCCAAGCAGCTGTCCGCCAGATCCATGACGACCTCATAAGGTGGCTCCTGCATACGGCAGGACTCGACGCAACAGGGCTTTGGGTCTTCATCCGTCTTTGCAATATCTCACCCATGATAGTTTCATCGTCAAGCGAAGGAGCCTGGACATGGCAATGATTGAATCCAAATCCCCCAATGGGAACCCAAACCCTAAACCCTGAATCCCAAACTCCTATAAATCTGACATCCAAAACTCCTAAACCCCACACTCCGCCCGTCAAAGCGGCTCCAGCTTATGCGGGTCGGTGGGCCCGCGCGCCACGTATGGGGCCTGGGCTGATTTTGGAGTGTGGCCCTCTCTCTTAGTGGCCCTGGAGGATGTGTACGGTTGTCTTTCATAACACCAGCCTAGAAGGGTTAGGGTTTAGGGTTTAGGGTTTAGGGTTTCGGGTTTAGGGTTTAGGGTTTAGGGTTGTTACTATATGTTACTGTAAGGGTCCGTTGAAGGCTTATTATATAGGTTCCTTTTTAAGGGGCCTATAGTCTCCAGTGCAGGCTTCCTTGCTTGGGTTACCTTGCAGGATCCTAAATTTAAATTGGGTTACACCGAAAGGGAAACTACAATGGATACTATAGGCAGTTTGTAATACTTAGAACTTTTCTTAGGATCCTATCAGATAACCCAAGCAAGACTAGAGGCAGCTTATAAATAGTTTTCAGGATCCTCAAAGATAGCCCAAAAAAATAAGACCAATGGAGGTTAAAGTCGAGCCTGTTTATAATACTCAGAACAAGTATCTGCTACCAGTTGCTATGTGGTAATGTAGGGGCCTTAATAACAGAACAGGGTTTTGGGCTCCTTTTTAGCATAAACTTAACAACATGGAACCCTAGAGAATGATGTCAGAAATGCTTGTACAAAAGGAACCCTTATGGTTACACCCTTTAAGGAACCGTTATAGTACCGTATAGTAGCCCTTAACCCTAAACCCTAAACCCTGAACCCTAAACCCTAAACCCTAAGCTCTTACGCTTCGGCTTCTATGTCAGGGCTCCGAGGCTTCGAAAGCTGGCCACTTCACCTCTTCGTGGCTCTGTGGATCAGGCTGGAACCCATAATATAGGGTTTATGGCCTCGGATTTAGGGTTTAGGGTTTAGGGTTTAGGGTTTAGGGTTTATGGTCTCGGATTTAGGGTTGACGGTTTAGGGACTACTTTATAAGGCGAAAGAATAGACTAATTTGGGTAAGAACTGACTAAGAAATAGCTTTGGCTAATTAAGGAATTAAGAACCTTTAGTCTCCATTGTAGCTCGTTTTTTTTTTTGGGGGGGGGTGTGCCCATCCTATAGTTAGGACCAGGGTTTCGGGTTTAGGGTTCTTTTATAAGGCAACCCCAAAAAGAAGCTACCATGGAGACTGACTGTAGGAATTGACTAAGAACTGACTTTCCAGGACCTTTGAGTTTGTGAGTACGTTCCCAACTGATGACTCAGTGTAGGAAACCATCACAAGGGGGTTTAGGGTTTACTAGTTAATGGTTGGGGTAGTATTAAAAAATGTATATTCCTTATTGGGTTTAAGTACCCTTAAAAATGTAAAATGTTACCCAACTATGACAAAGTTTAGGGTTTAGGGAGAGAAAGCATGCACGCTACACCTGCAGGGGCCGCAGAAAATGCATCGCACAGTGTGGCATCCACATTCGCAACAGCTATCGGTTTAGGGTTTAGGGTTTAGGGTTTAGGGGAATGGTGTGGAGCCCAACCCGAAGAATCGAAAAACCGCTGACTCTCGCAACCTTGTACCCCGAACCTCTAAACCGAGCTCTTGCCAGGCAGCATAGAGCACGGCCTCGCGCCCCTCCCAGAGCTTCGTGGTGGGCAGCGTGTAGGGCTCCGTCATGTTCCGCCAATGGGAGGTTCCTGCTCTGAGGGCTTGGGGTTTAGGGCTTAGGCTTTCGGGTTTGGGGGTTTAGGGCTGAGGGCTTGGGGTTTACGGCTTAGGGGTTTCGGGTTTAGGAGTTTAGGGCTTAATGTTTCGGGTTTGGGGGTTTAGGGCTTAGGGTTTCGGGTTTGGGGGTTTAGGGTTTCGGGTTTCGGGGTTTAGGGTTTAAATTTAGGGTTTAGGATTTAGGGTTTAGGGGTTTAGGAGCTTTAGGTTTGGGGTTTAAGGTTCCGATTAATTAGACTCGACACTCGAGACCTCCCCTGCACCAAGACGAGCAAACCCGATTCCGAGGACTCATCAGGGTCACTCCAGGTCAAAGCACTTGGAGGTTCATGGGTAGTTATAAGTGGGGTTAGAAGTCCCCTAATATGGGCTATAAGTATAGTTACCCTACTTATAACCCCACTTATAACTATCCATGAACCTCAAAGCAGTTTCGCAACATTCCTCCTGCACCTGCCCCGAACCCTAACACAAGACATTCAATACATGCACTATCACGTACCTTTCTTACACTATGACTACTATGATGAACTATACCAGATAATGACCCTAAGCCCTAAACCCTAAACCCTACACCAATGGTGTACATATATATATATATATATACATACTGGCTCCATACTCCTGCCTTCAGCGGAAAGGACCCCCGCAGCCAGCAGGGAAGAGTCGGGTGCTACGCTGCCAGTCCTCTGAAAGGGCTTGCTTTGGATTTAGGGTTCATCTAGGGGCCTTAAGAATTAGAATAGGGTTTAGGGTTTAGGGTTGATCTAGGGGCCTTAAAAACTAGAATAGGGCTTTGAGGTGCATTCTACTATCATGCGAATAAGGATGTATTTAGGCCCCTACATGACATGGGGCCCTAAAGGTTAACCCGTTGGGACTATATAGGGGTTAATAGTACCCCAAAAAGGTTAAGCGTTCCCTACTCGACTTCTTAGTCGACTGCATGACATGGGCGCGACTTTCAGCCGCCAACGATGGATATAGATTCCGGCGGACAGACTCCGAAGAATTCGTTTGTCGGTGTTGAGCGTCTCCTGGTGGGAAAGATCCGTCCACTGGACTCAAGCTGCACATTCACGGTTACGTTTTGCTTTTCCCGGACTGGGAACACCTAGTGACCTCCAGGTTCGACATTAGGGTTCAGGGTTTAGGGTTCCTAAACGCTAAACCCCCAAAAAAACCTCTCACGAAGATGTGTGAAACTAATACGTCTAGTATATTATACTATATTGCTAGTTGCTTGCTAATTAGTTGCTATTTTGCAATACTGTATGCTTTCGTTGCAGTGAAGTCTCTCGTTGTTGGCGTCTGGGCGCCAAGGAAAGGAGTCCTCTCAAAAGGCACAGAAGTCAGTGGCGCAGCGATTCGAAGTAGGAATCAGAGTTTCCGGGAGTTCGGGTTTAGGGTTGAGGACCCAAAACCCTAAACCCTAAAACCCCAAAACCCTAAACCTTAAACCCTAAACCCTAAAACCCTGGGGAATTTTGCATTCCTCGGGCTCCAGTTGCTTAAGTAGTAGAGTACTACAGCCATATAATATGTAGCCCAGCAACCCTTATTCGAGTAACTGGAGTTGGGCAACCGGAGGTTCAGGGAAAAGAAGACCTCAGTATTTTGGGAGGACTCGGTTTTGGATGTGACCTTCGATTGTCGAATTTTCAACTACGCTGAAGAGGAGCGCATCCTGGATTTCCAATATATCCGCTTGAATACTTTGAACAGGGTCCTGGCGTATACTCTAGTATATGTTCAAGCAGCCCTAAGCAATAATATTGGTATTTATTGCGAACCCTCTATGAATTGATGCCATGACAGATCGAGTCGCGAGGGAAGCGACACTTGGGGGCCTTACTAATTAAAATACGTTTGGGCGTATATTACACTACCTTTACAATAGGGACTATAATGGAGAGCACGAGTACTACTTATTTGGGCCTCAGGCCTCTGCATTGCGTGACACTGACCTGTCCAAGGAATGAAGCCCTCTCATGACAAACTATGACTCTGGGACATCTGCACAAACCTGGCACCTGCAAGAGTTCTATACCTTTACATATATATATATAGAGAGAGAGAGATATACACAGATCTATGAATCTATATAGATAGAGAGATAGATAGATAGATAGATAGATAAGTAGATAGATAGATATGTGCACATTGACTGTCTATATATGTAAATATGCAGTGATGTTTTTTTTACATATTTGACCGTGCGGTATAAACACCTACAATAACTAGCACATACATGTACTCATACGTACATATGTACATATCTACATACAGGCATGTATGCATACATATCTACTTACGTACATGCATACATCCATCCGTGCATGCGCACATACATACATAAATAAACATGTACATAAGCAAGCACCTGCACACATACATACATGCATGCATACATACATACATACATAATTCATACATAACCCATTACATAACTGATACACACATACACATACACATACAGATACATACATACATACATACATACATACATACATACATACATTTATACATACATACATACATACACATACATACACACACATACATACACACACATACATACACACACATACATACATACATCCATACATACATACATATGTACATATATATGTGCAGATGGAAATATAAAAATGTAGAGAGAAATACAATATTTCGCATGCACGCGACACCGTCCCAGTCCAAGTAGCATCTAGGCTATACTTTTGAATTCAGAATTTCTGGGATGCTGCACTTTGTTGACTGCCACCGGACGGGACCGAGTGAGGGCGGCAGTTCTTCTCTAAGAGAAGCTACGCTTTAGAGATCACAAACGTTGTCTACTTCATGCCATCCTTTTCGGCTTTGGTGTGCCGAGCTCTGTCACCCATTACTTGGAAGTTCATGGGCAGTTATAAGTCGGGTTATAAGTCCCCTAATATGGGTTAAATATAGTTACCCTACTTATAACCACACTTATAACTACCCTAAACCCTAATCCCTAAACCCTAAACCCATACTAGAGGACTTATAACCCTACTTATAACTACCCATGAACCTCCAAGTAGGAAGCAGATACTGGGACCCGCTGCTGAGAAGACGACTCGAGGGCCGACCTCCAGGGCGAGAAAGAGACATGACCTGTCGAAAGGTTTAGGCTTTAGGCTTTAGGGGTTTGGGTTTAGGGTTTAGGGTTTAGGGTTTAGGGTTTAGGGTTTAGGGTTTAGGGTTTAGGGTTTAGGGTTTAGGGTTGAAGGGTTGAAGGGTTTAGGGTTTAAGGGTGTGCACTTTTTAAGCGACCGAATTTTCGCTGGACGCCCTCCTAGTATTGTCAAAAGAACCCACCAAAACGAACAACGCTCATGTCAGGTTCAGGGTTTAGGAACGAAAGTGAACAAACAACTGGCCCCTCCATTCTCCTACATGAGACAACACTGGGCTTAGACAGATTCAAGAGATCAAGTCGACCAAACTGAGCCGAGCAACAGGCACCGTGAAACCCCGACGAAGAGCAAGCTAAACCCTGCGGCTCCGCGTCAGTCAATGTTCTGCCACACAGCTGCAATGCGTGCAAGCCCACGCATCTCATTCTTGAAGGTTCACGGGTGACTAGAAGTAGGGTTCCAACTAAACCTCATTGGAGCTACAATGATCTCTTCTACCTAAACCCTAAACCCTACATCCTGAACCCGAAAACCTACAAGTAAACCGTATTCTCTACTCGGAACCCCACTTGTAGGTACCTTTGAGCCTTCAAGTGGCGTCATAACTGAATGCTTGGAGGCTTTATCCTCCAGCAGGAAAACAGGAAAACGTGAAAATAAGTGCCGGCTGTCTCATCTGCGCCCCTGGCTAAGCATACTCTGACAACACGAGTCCGACAGCAGAGAACGGTGCAGATTCATCAGTGGTTTGGGGTTTAGGGTTTAAGGTCTACCAGGAATTTGAACACGTTCATAGTCTAGGGTTCTTTCTTTTGTATGGCCTTAAAAGGGCAGGTTTTGCGGGGCTAAGGTAAAGCTTCTGAAAATAGAATAGCCATGGGCTGGTCTGGTGAAACACCTTCGAGTCTGCTGGCTCAGGTACTGCAGTGAACTTCGCGCGTGTCGCCGGGCAGGATTGGAAGGGGATACGGGTGCAAGACCTTTGTCAACCAGTACCTTGACGGTTGCATCAACAACCCAAAATCTCTGAATACGCATCTCCTGTAAAACAACCAAAAAAAGAAGTCCTACTGTAAACCCAGAACCCCAAACCGAAAACGCGACCGTCGTCCAATGCAATCGAATCACTGGGGCGCAGCTTGAAGTGCAATCTCCGAGTCCTCACAAGGCTTGCCTGCTTTGGTGCAGGTGCGCTTGCCGTTGCTCTCCTCTAGCACCACCTGCTCCCCCTGGTACTCTGCATAGCTCTTGGGGGTCCCAAACCAAGGTACCTTTGTGTACTTCAGGGTGAAGCTCTCATTCTTCTTGCGCGCCAGGGAGAGCACTCTCCGGAGCTCGTAGGCTGGCTCGACATAGGGCGGCTGCGAGACCTCCACCGTGGTGTTGCCACGGTTGTGAAGTGCTGAGGACCCGTGGTCATCGTCACGGTTGTAGTAATTCCGTGCTGCGTAGAGCTCGAAGTAGCGTCCGGGGGTGCCGACGCCCACGAGGAGGTCTCGCGCGTAAGGGAGCCTAGGCTCTGGTTCAGGAGTTTAGTTTTCAGCTACCAGCATCAGGAAACCACACATGATCTACAGTAGATCCCTATTATTATTATTTATTAGTTATTTATTATTATTATTATTCATATTATTATTATTATTATCATTATCATTATTATTATTATTACTATTACTATTATTATTATGGTAACTTAAGTTAAATTCCTCAACAAGACCCCAGGAGCATGAGGTGGGTGGCCTCGGCAGGACACAGCTCACGCATTGTGGGGGACGTGGTCTCATCGATGCGGATGAGGCCACCACCGAAGGCGTCCATGGCCCAGGCGGGCTCTGTGTTCTTGGGGTCCGCGAAGTGCTCTTGGAGCAGCCCGGTGGGTACCACGAGGTGATTGGTACCACCCCATTGCTTCACGTTGCCGTACATGGTGCTGGAGGCCATAGCCATGACCCCGAAGACGGGTGCCAGGAAGCCATAGACAAAGCCCACGAGGACGGCGAGGAAAGAGAGCCAGGCAGCTCCCCCTAAGCGGCTGGCACGGTGCCCACTCATGATTCCCCGGAGGTAGAGGAAGCCCAGGGTTAGGAAGAGGACGCAGGCGGTGTCGACGCCCAAGTGGATGGCAAACATCGCCGCTCCGATCGCGACGCATAGGGACAGCGGCAGGAGCAGCGAATCAGACTTACCGAGGGCCTTCGTGACGATGCCTGGGAGGAAGATCACAAAGCGGCAGCACATCGAAATAGAAAAGCCCCCGGCATAGGTCATCGGCATCAGGTTGATGGTCTGGTGGAAGGCCAAGGCCAGCACCACACCCGCAGCCGGCCTGAAGGTGAGGCAGTAGGCCACCGCAAACTCCAGGGCGGCCACGAAGACGGGCGCTATCTTCAGAAAGGTATTGGCAAAGAGGCTGCCCGCAGGAACCAGCTCCGGTGTGAAGAGCCCGGCCATCAGCTCCGAGAGCAGCACCGGTGCGCAGGAGCCTCGGACGGTGTACCAACTGGTGGTCAGCTTCCAAAACGCCGCGCTCCAGTACAGCACGCAGAGCTCCATGCGCGCTGCGGGGAGGAACCTGACAACGCCGAATGTCGGAGCCCATGTGGGTGCTTAGTGGGTTCAGGGTATAAGTAGTAATTTTAGGGTTTAGGGTTTAGGGTTTAAGTAGTAGACTAACTTCAAAGGGATGCTGGGATCAACTATGCAGGCCTCTGTATCAGCACACCATGACTTGCTTTTACGGATCAGATGCAGGGCTGTCCGTTCTTTAAGGACCCGTAGTCAAAGGATTCTCATGCTGCTAAGCTAAATGCGAAAGCCCTAAGTCCCAACACAAAAAACCCTTCAAACGCTACAAGCCCTCAAAATCCCCGATAAAACCTGAACGCCAAGCCCCCTCCCCCAAGGAAATGCAATCACAAAAGGAGCGTGAGAGAAAAATGAAACCCCTCGGCCCCTAAACCCTAAACCCTAAACTCGAAACCCTAAACTCTAAACCCTAAACCCTAAACCCCTCGGTGCCTCTTCGCCACCGCCTCTTTGCCACCTCCCGCGACCGCGGCCAAGACGAAGGTAAACTCTAGGAGCGCCGCCCAGACCTTGTCCCCAAACCCTAAACCCCACGAAGCTTCAAAAGGGTTCCTTTAAAAGGATCTATAAGGTTTAGGGTTTAGGGTTTAGGGTTTAGGGTTTAGGGTTTAGGGGTTCTTTAAAGGGATCCATACTTGGGGGATCATGGGACTTAGTAAGTAGGGTTATAAGTCCCCTAATTCGGGTTATAAGTATAGTTACCCTAGTTATAACCGTGCTTACTAAGTCCCATGATCCTCTAAGTAAGATTAAAGGAAACTACAGGTGGGGAGTTTAGGGTATATAAGGCTTCTATAAGGTACATAGATCTTCTAAAAGGCTCCTATAATGGTAGCTACCCACCTGAAAATGTCCTAGACTTAGAAGGGATCCATAAGGGATCGATAAGGGTTCTAGATCAGTGGAGAACGGCTTACTTGGAGGACCATGGCCGTGACGTGGGCTACAAGTAATTATGTGGTTAGTCACCTGGTTTATAACCCTAAAACCTCCACCCCCAACCCTAAGCCCCATAGACTCTAAACCTTATTCAGGGCTTAGGATTTTGGGCAGTAACACGTAGAGACGTGTAGACATGCTACTTGGAGGACCGTGGGACTTAGTAAGTACGACTATACCTTATAGTTATAACGCTACTTACTAAGTCCCATGATCCCTTTAAGTACTGAACGACCAGCAAGGGGCCATGTGGTCCCAGACCGCCGGCATCCAGTAGAACCACGAGACGATGTTGGCCACATGCCTGGGGCGCGAGAAAAGGGTTTTAACAGTTCGAATAGGGTTTTGGGGCATACTATACTATAGTTACAGTAAGGAATCCCCAGAACAGTATAGGTAATTCTTAAGGCCCTTATATTTACCTGCATCTTTAAGCTAGAAACGTATTTGGCGAACCTAAGGAAGAATGTTAGCCTAAACTCCTTAAACCCTAAGTCCTAAACGCTAAACATAAGCCTTAAACACTGAAGGCTAAGCCCCAAAACCCTAGGCCTTAAACCTGTTGACACTCCGGGCTAAGGGTTTTTTGGGCCTCCTTGGGTTTCGGTTTAGGGTTTAGGGTTTAGGGTTTAGGGTTTAGGGTTTAGGGTTTAGGGTTTAGGGTTGGGGTTCAAGGCTTACGGTTTCAGAGAGGGGGTGCCAAGAGGGAGGCCCCAAACCAAAACCAGAAGCCCTGAACCCCTACACCCCTGAACCCCTAAACCTCAAAAAGAGATACCCCTAAACCCTAAACCCTAAAACCAGAACCCCTACTACACCCCAAACCCCTAAACCCGCAAAAAGACGTGGGACATCACTGGACCGAGATGCGCAATGAGGAGCACCGAGGGGATGGGAAAGAGGAAGGAGAGGACCAAGAGAGGCAAACCTGGGCTCTTGTCAAGGAAATAGGGCTTAGGGTTTAGGGTTTAGGGTTTAGGGTTTAGAGTTTAGGGTTTAGGGTTTAGGGTTTAGGGTGTTTAGGGTTTAGGGTTTAGGTATTAATTTCCGCAAATCCCTGTTATGACAATCCTACACCCTAAATCACAACTCGCAAACCCTAAACCCATGACCCTTAAACCCTAAATCCAATCTGATAGCTTCAATGAAATTCCTTGCATTATTGTTGCCATATTAATACTACAGAGCCCTATCAGTGCAACCCTAACCCCTGAACCCTGCAATAGATTCCTATGATAGCAACCCTAAACCCTAAACCCTACTATAGATGTCTAGTATGGTGACTGAAATGAAGTTCCTCAGCCCTCAACCCTTATGGGAACCCTTAGCAAACCATCTGGACTACTATAGATCCATACTATGGCAGCTTATGAGAAATTCCCTAAGCCCTAAATCCTAAACCCTAGTCTCTAAACCCTAAACCCTAAAACCTCATCCCTAAACCCATAGCCCTAAACCCGAAAC